TAATAAGAGTAAATACAGTATATATTGTCATAAATCAATCTTAATGTATTTACACACTTTATTTAAGAACATTTATCAAGGGCATCCATTTCAGTGAATCTTTTTGACCTGGCTCTTCAAGCCCGGTCCTCAGGATCTACTATCCTAAATGATTTACCCGTCTCTGCTCCAGCACGCCTTAATCAAATAACTGCATCACCCCCTTTAGCAGCTGCTAAACGGCTGCAGAAGCCTGATAATCACCTATTTGTTAAGTCGGGTGTCTAGAGGCAGGAAAAAAACAAAAATATGCAGGGCAAGGAATTGTTAGAAATGGGGCTGAAGACCCCTGCCCCTGCTTTTGATAACTTGTATCCTTATTTGTTCTCGGTTAACTTTCATGTCTATGAGGAGACAAACCTTTTATACACTTATGTATTTACTGATTATGTAGCAGTTTAATTGTCTCGGTAGTGGATAAAAGCCTGAAATGTTATTTATTTTGTCCTACTGTATTGTTTTAAAGATGCACTCTATTTTCACAGACTAACATTCGGATCGGCCATTCTGAGAGATTATAAAACCAAAAATATGTAGACCATTATTTAAAGAAGAAGGACATTTTAAATCAGTCAAGTCAAGTTGCAAAATCTGATATGAGCTTTACTCGTCAGTATTAAAAACAGAAAATGGCCCCTTTTTGTCTGTCATTAAAAAAACAGAATCTTTAAAAGTAGGAAAAGGCAAAGGGACCAATTGGCCAGCACCTGGGTATCAGCTTGGAGTTGTACATTATTAAGGTTTTACTTTGTAGCATGTAGCACTGAGGTCACATGCATGAATGTTGCTGTTAAGCTGCATGCAGACACAAAAGGACATTTAACAACTAGAAACACACCCATCCCAAGCAAACTTGCAGTCTACATTGATGATAAATAATTAAGAAACACATGTTTTGACAAGTGTAAAGAAAAAGGTACAACAGGTATTTTTCCCAACGTGCTAGATCCAGTCTGTTAAAGTAATCCAGCCTACCTGGATTAAGCTCGCTGTATTTAAGCTCTCATATAAACATATATTGGCTTTACCGTTTAAGGTAATAAACAGAAATGTATGCATGTGTTGGTATAAAAAATGCAACTTGTTATACTTGTTTAAAATGGTTACAAATATTTACACAGAAAGGACACAAATTCTTTGTTACATAAAAATATTAATCTAAACTAATAAGTGAGGAGGGAAAGGTAAACAAATATACTGCTATACGTTACAGTATAAAAGTAGGGTTATCGGAATTAGGTTTTCAATAATCGTGATGCCTTCAGCTGAATTAAACAATGTTGCAAAGCAACTATGAATGATACAGTTACAGAGGATACTGTGTGGAATACATAATTAAATCACAACAACATCAGATGTTAGAAAACGTCCTCACAGCTTCTGTTACTTATGGCCGATGAGAATTTCATTTTTTTAGGGTTGGAAAAAAGGATTGAACACTACAGGAGTTGCAGTTTAATAAGAAAAAAACGTAAATAATAATTTTCAGTGACTCAGTCAACTTTTACGTATTGGAAATATCGCCTATATATAATAAAGATTCCTTTTATTGTTGATTTGCTATATATATATATACGTGTGGGAAAAGGAAACAGATTTTGAATTTTATACCCTCACCATAACAGAAAACAAGCAGGAAACTGTAAACATGATACAGGAAACATTGAATAACAAAGTGCTGTTTCAATTCCTGCACCACCTGTCGTTCATATTTGGCTACAGCATATTAACTGCCTAATAAACCATAAATGTATTCTGGTTATTGAAACAATCATTAGCCATGGAGCCATGGCGAAAATAAGCACACCCCTGGATATTTTGCACATTTCTTTCATGTTAAAACCACAAACTTTAGGACTTCTTATATATATATTTTATATGATAGACAAGTGTTGCACTTGTATGTATTCAACTCTTTTGATCAAATGTCAAAATAAAATCCAAAATCCATTGCAATCACCCTCCTTCAGAACTCATCTCATTGGTAAAAAGACTATATCTGGGTGTAATTCAATCTCATTTCATCTCAAGTATTTTTGAGACTTATTTAATTCTAACTGAGCTCTAAGGGTATGATCTAAGGATGCCTAGTTTTTGTTTGTTTTTCTTTTTTCTTTAATTGCTTTCCATTCCTGTCTTGCATTCTGTTTGTGCCTTCTGGACCAGGTATCTCAACACCAGTTGGACGTATATTGAGAAATAGATTCATCATTCTGTAAAGGGCCTCCAATTATAGGACAAATGACTAGGGGTGTAAATCACATCCATCATGGCGATTCGATTCAGTATCGATTTCCTGACCCAACGATTCGATTATTTTCGATACTTAAGAATACACCACGATTCGATTCGATTCGATTAATCGATTAATTTTTTTATTATTATTATTATTATTTTTTTTTTTTTACACCTTACAGGCTAAACAAAGTTTCAAGTTTGAAATAAATCAATGAAAGCTGTAAAATCGTTATGCATTTTCTTTAGAAACAACAGCAAATAACAGAAGTAGAAAAGTTGCATCAAAAAATACTGCAAAAATACTGCACAATATCAGTGTAATGAGTTCAATGCAATACCTCGGCTCCAGAGAAACTGTCCAACATATTTTTTTAGAATGTAAAAAATATATTCAGGAAAGAGAGATGTTGTGTAGAGAGTTAGACAGATATAAGGGAATTGTTTCAAAGGTCATCTGGGGATGTAGTTTTTGGTAGTATTTTTAATTTTCTAAGAAGAACGGGTATTTTAGGGAGAATATAATAGTTTGTCTGGTCCATACTCCATTCTGGAAGGTGGCGGTAATGCAACTATAAGTTGTTTGCCAACCGCCATTAAAAAAAAGAAGAAGAAGAGCTCCAGAGTGTTGACGTCACCGCCCCTTGAGAGACGCTCCGCTGCTCCTCTCCCAGATTGTAGCTGACCGCAAACAGTGCACCAGACAGGAGGCCGGCTTGTTTTGTTTTTATGACCGAAATTGCGGAAAACAACTCGTGAAGTTTGACCCGCTAGAAGAGCGAGGTGCGCGAGAACGCTGGGAGCCTTTTTCCAGCTGAATCTCCGCTCTTTTTGCCCCATTGTCCCTCCGTCGTCGGACTAAACTCGCCGCCACTTCCTCATCGCCTCGGCCGTATCTAGACCCACAGCGTGTAGCCCAGACCACGCTTCAATACTGAGCATAATTTAAAAATGTCTGTGTGAAGCTTGCTGCAACAAACTGCTGTAAGAGTATAACCAGGAAGCGCGGTAGGAGGGCAAAATAGGTTTAGCGGCACCGCAGCACGGGAGGGAGAATTACGCCCAGGAGCAAATGGATAAAAATAGACCGGAGGGAAAAAAAAAACATTAATCGATTATCTTGCGGACGTGTCGATGCATCGGATCGTCGGCTTTTGGATCGATGCATCGATACAAAACGATTATTATTTACACCCCTACAAATGACATTATAAAAACCAAGAAAAAGGATCAATTGTAGACACTTTAAAGCTGCCCTAGGCTGCAAAATATTTAGCCTGGGTGCCATTCCGAACTTAGTCCCGCCCACAACGTTTGAGGTCGGGAAGTTCGGTCTGGCATTGCTCAGTAGTAGCGCGAGTATGCTCGCACAATTTCTGGCAGGCCAATCAAATTATCAGGGCGGGCTTTATACGATGATGGACAGATGATCAACAGTAACGTAATCAACCACGTCACCAAAGCGCGCTTGGGTGACAACAACAATGGCTGCCGCTGGAGAGTTGAGGTGTGTAGATTCTGCTATTACTGTAGGTCTGTTCTAGAAGATATCGACAGCAAATTAATCTTAAAAGAGGAACAGAGAAACGCGATCAAGGCTCATCTTCTTATTCTAAGCTTGCAACTGCACGCTTTGATTTTTGTTGACAACAACTATGCCTCGCTTAACATCCGTCACACACTCCGTTGCTTTTATTGGTTGTAGGTCTATCCAATTGAGTGCAGAGGCATTTTTTTCCCTGGTTCGTTCGAAACACGCCCCATAATCACAGCTCTATGGAGCAGTATCAGACTCATATTCTGACTAGAATTGAGTAGGAGTACGTCAGGCTACAAAATATTAGGTCAGTCATTGAACATCTCACAAAGCATTTATGAATCCATCTAAAACTGGAATCGGTTTGGCACAAGCACACATCTTAAGGAACCTGGCTGTCCTTTTAAAATTACAGTAAGTATGGTGGAGGTGTAGAGATCTATACTGAGATCTCTGGTTGTGGCATCTATGCGCTGAAAAATTACTAGCTATGGAGTCCTTCAATATTGGCTTTTATAGAGCTATAAATATTCCAATCTGCAGTGTGCCAATAGACAAAACTAGCAATCTGAACATCTCATCTGCACAGTAAAACATGGTGGTGGCACAGTCATACTGTGAGAATTCCTCAGCAGAACACTGAAGCTAGTCAGTGTATAAGGATTAAATAAAAACCTCTTTTGTAAGCAATTTCAGCTTAGCCAAAATAAGATGCCCTCCATTCTTCCATTGTCACTGTCAAACCCAGCTACTATTTACATTCTTTGTGTTAGACTGTCTAATAATCGCATAATAATCCCAATGAAATACATAAAAGTTTGTGGTTTTAATGTAACAAAATGTGGAAAAGTTTAAGGGGTATGGTTTATTTTGCATGATACTTTAGATCTACTGATACCCTTTTCATCTACTAAGATTCCTAAACATACATTATTCTCTAAATCATACACCAGCATAGATTAATAAAGCTTGGCACCCTTCTGATTTTAATGCCTCCAGGTTACAGAGGCATGCTCCTACAGTGCATGCTCATGATACGGTAACTACAGAAACATTTGTCTTTTGGCAACCAAAACCAATTGAAGCTTTTTCATTCATTATCTGTATTGGCAAAAAAAAAAAAAAAAGTACAATTGATATATGCATGCCCTAGACTCCTGCTTAAAAAGAACACCAAAAGGATCAATTATGGGACTTGATGCTCTAATAACATTTTATTGACGGTTGGTTTCGGTAGGTGGCAGTGAACAGGGAGGTTAATCAGAGATACTACCATCCTTTTCATACACTCTGGACAAGTGACGGATGTACAAACTGACTGTTGATGAAAGAGAACCCTGCAAACTCTGCCTGGTCAATGTTGGCAATAACCAGCTCGTCTGGTGGTGTAAGCTGGGGCTGGGTGCGTGTGAAGAACTTGTCAAAGTTCTCAGCCCCTTTGCCGCACTGTAAAAAAACATACAAAACAAAAAGAGGATAGAGTTGTTTAGACATCAGGTATATACTGCAATAACAAGTGTAAAAACAGAACAAAATAGAATAAAGGTTAATGTTTGTAAAACACCAAAAAAAAGCCATTTTGCTTATGCCATTTCAAATCAGCTACAGTAAGTGAGTGTTGGGCTTGGTTAGAAGGTTGGATTATTTTGGAAAACAGCTGTAAGCAGAATATACACACAAAAGCATGTACAGCACCTGGCAAAGATATTCATATTCCCAGAACATTTTATTTTTCTGAAAAGCTGCAAATTTATATATAAGTATTTAATGTGGATTTCATTGCATAGGCTCACACAAAGCTGAACTTGAGGAGAAATCGTAAGAAAAATTTAGCATGTTTTTTTCTTATGTTATCTGGTCCTTTGTGTTGGTTTAAAATAAGAAATCCCTTCAAAATATATCAATGTTTCTAGCTATAATGTGACAAAATCTGCTAAATGGAGTGCTATTGTCATCGGATAGTCATCACCATACCTTTAGACACAGTTTAAGTTCTCAGTGAGCACTTTAATTATCTAAAAAGGATCAAGTTGACTTTTTCCAAGTGTATAATAATCAATGCTCTGTTGTCTATGTCTTGGTTCCTGTTATAGAATATTAACCGTTTTGATAATAGATCCTGTTAATATTAAGGACATTTCTCTGTTTGTTTTTATCTAGCCTTCAAAATAGGATGGATTTGGTTGACATGTTGCTCCTTATAAGAACAAAGGCTAAGAAAACATTGGGAATGATTAGCATGAAATGAAAAAAATAGATTGAATATTGAATCTGAAACACAAACTTTTCATGGAGCTTATTTTTTGGTTTGTTTGTCCTTTTAACTGTTAACTACTATGTAAATGTTTGCTTAAAGGAAAGTAGGCTAATAGATTGCCCCTTTCTTGATGAATACTTTTTGGGGGGTTTAAGCTTTTATAAAAAAAAATGGGTTAAGTGCTTTAAAACTCTTGACTAAATATTGTTATCAACTAATGTCTAGCAGTATATCAAGGAGCCTCTTTTTCTACAGTATTAATGTTCCAGCCACTCTATTGGGGTCTTATTATCTCTGTTCATTCGGGTGTCTCTGTTAGGAAAGGCGCCAGTACCTCCATATTTATTTCCCCTTCATGTTTGAATAGGATGGTCGAGAAAGAGTTCGACAGATGATTTCTTAGAGCCAAACAAAGCTGAAGAAAAAACCCCTGAGGGCACAGATGTGTCCAAGAGGATTGTGTTTGCATGCAAGAGCTTTTTGACTGTGATCGTTGCCACCATCAGGTGACATTTGCCCAGAGCCATGTTGTGCTGTCGCAGTGAATAGACAGCCAGGCCAATGGCATGAGACGAAAATCAAATGTGGCTCAACATGCACTCACATTAGTGCATTTGGCCCCTGAATGTCCTCTCCACCCTGCACGGCATACACCTGACGGGTAAGCGCCAGCATCCTTCAACTGCCGGGTCTTTCCGTCCACTTGTCTTCTTTTATCCATCACGAACCAGTCATCACTCAAGTGAGGCAAGACACGTTAAAATGTGACCTCATGCGAAAATCTCCAGCCCCAAAATGTCCCTTTCTGTATCCCAAAGCAGTTACTCCTTGTGACATCGGGCCACTACTCCGGGGCAACGCTGCCGCCGCTGTGTACAGAGAGCATATGTGGGATAAAACCTCTGCTGCAGAACTGACAGCAGCAATAGTTGACAAGCACGCCTCATTTAGTTCAATCTCTGTCTTTTGTTTCAAAAATAAGAATACAAGATTACTGCATGTTTTTCTCTTGGTATGGCATTATAAAGGACAAAAATATTTAAAACTTTCAAAGAAATTATCTTTGGAATAAATGTATAGGATTATTTTCACATTTATAGCAGTTATGAAGTGTTAATCGTGCTAAAAGGAGAGCAGTTTTATTTCATTATAGATGTAAGAAGCTACTTCCTTCATGCATATTTAATTTTTTTGTGTTTGCAGATTTAATACCATAAGGCCCGAGTGTATAAGGCTTGTTTTTTTATATACTGGTGTAGATTCTCAGTTATCCAGGTCACAGTCATTCCAAAAAAAGTTAAAAAACAAATCACTGGACTTAGTTTCCAAGTTTGAAGACGTTACGCTTCCCATCCAGGAGGCTTTTTCAATTCAAAATGTCAGGAATAGTGTTGAGTTTGAGGTTTTATACAGTAGCCCATCGAAACCTTATTTTTATTTTGAAAACATGCAAATTGGAACAGAGGGGTCCACCCCTTTGGAATGTTTTTTTTTGGCTTATTTTATTCGTCTGCAATGTCCCATACCCGTCTATGTCTCTGAAAGGGCGGTCGTTTAATGGCTTTCTTTTTATTCATCTTTAGATCTTTTTCTACTTGCTAATGTTAACTTTTATTACAGGGAGGGTAGAACAAACAGGAAAGAAAATTGCCTCTGATTGGATACTTCTCAGGAAATCCCACCTCTTGTAACAGTAGTTTTCTTCCTGGTTGTGGATAGTAATGTTAGTAAAGCCTCTTCTGGCTTATTGTTGATCTATTAAAGAGTTAGAAATTGGTGAAGTCATCATTAAATATCTTGATTATCAGTCATGGAAGACAGACATTTACATTTACAGTCAGTTGGCAGCCACTGTTAGCTATCTTGCCATTCATAGAAATTAACATAATAAAATTATCCAATCTTAAATTTATACTAATAGCAATGTTGAATTATATAGTAAAATTAGCAGGTAAACTTGAAATAATTACAGTTTTTATAAGTGGTAGCTTTCTGATTAAAAGTATATTGTAGTTTTTTTTTATTATCATATGTGATTTACTGTAGTGGGATTTTGAGTATTTAACTGCTGAAAAGGATGGGTGGGGTTAACATTGGGGGTTGGTGAGGTCATGGAAACTTCTTGAAAACAAAAGAGAAAGTTCACCATAAACTTGACCATTAATAAATAGCAAATTACTCCTTTCTGCAGTCATTTAGTCAGGCCTCAGTGGGTGAACTTTGGTTAGTATGCTAATAAAACATCCCCACATACTTTGTGACCTAGTGTCCTACATCAGTTTTCTGACCTACTTTCTCTAATCTTTAATTCTCCATGCCTTTAGACACATACAGATGCACGCCTCTGCACTTAACTACCATAAAATAACACACATGGCTACTTAGGAAGATAAATAAGTCCTTATTTCCATTAGGCCTGTGTTGAGACACACAAAGATGCACGCACAATTTATCTCTGTCCTTAACCCTCTTCATCTCAACATGAAGGATGTATTATGCAAAACTCCACAATTTATTTTCTTTTCAAAGTTAAAAAACAACTGAATGGAAACCAGGGCTGATTAAGGACAAATCAGTGTTATTTATAATACATGTTGAAAGTGGTTTTATAGAAAAATTATGAAATAGTTGGTATTAATCTCCTACAACATATATATATATATATATATATATATATATATATATATATATATATATATATATATATATATATATATATATATATATATATATATATATATATATATATTTATTTATTTTTTATTTTTATTTTTTCAAATTAAACAACATTTGAGAGGGAATATGCTATATGTCTTTTCATGTTCTTTTCCATTTTATTATGTTTCTCTGCTACAGCAACTTAGGACTTATTTATGTTATTTTAAATTGCCATGCCAGTATACAGTATGTCTGACCAAGTCTCCTGAGCCACACACTTTTGCTTCTTGGAAACTGCTTCAAGTCTTTTGACTAAGTCCTCCCATTTATTTGTTGGCCTGGTTTTCATAGACTATGATTCAGCAGCTCTCGATCTGACCTACTTTCTTCTATTCAAACCATAAAAACGATCCAACATTCACCGGTGGGTGTAAAATATGTAGGCATCAAGTGGACTGTTCTCCCATGAAATTTTAAACACCAACACAGACCACCTTAATGCTGCTGATATTTACTCATTAGATTGCTTCATTACTTATTGCAGGCAGCTGCAAAATGACGCCTTTGACGTCATAAATATGGATTTATGCTAACTATGCCTTTAAAAGCAGTCATTCTACCACAGTGACTATGTTCTGCGTAATGTCTGAGGTCCTTGTCCACCATATACAAATTGTCTGATTCTCATGGTTAGACACAGACAGCTTTTTTTTATTGCAATTCTACTGCCGTCACAGCAGACTGAAGTGTGATCAAGAGGCAAGAAAAGGAAGAAGACAGAGGAAAGAGGAGGAGGAGCTGGATTAGTAAGGCAAGAACAGATTGCATGAGGAGTGAGAGGGTGATGTGTAATGACAGCCAGTTAATGGTAATGGACTGAGCAATAACATGGAATTTACATGGTGTGGAAAATGAGGCATGATGGCTAATTCAGCAGGTGACCATAATTACTGGTTCAATTCAGCAGATGCTCCTCTCTTTCCATCTCTCCCATCTTCATGGAAAATGTGTCATTGTACACATCCAGAACCAAGCAAGCATTCACTGGGCAGTGAACATGCAGGGTTGGATACTTCCTTGGAACTTCAGTGGAGCCAGTATGCACCCTGACCTTTCCACATTACATCTCATTACAATCCCAAACCTCATGGTGCTGGTTTTGGATTCTGCTTGATTGCTCAACACAAAGAAGGGCATAATTGTGAATTGGATATACATGTATAACCAATACAAAAGTTTTCTTTTTTTTTTTTCTTTTTTTTAGGAATTTAAATCTAAAAGATATTCTGTGTGGATTTATGATTGACATCTTTTCTTCAATAGCAACAGAAGGAAATTCAGTGTAATGATTGCCTTCAGAAGTCACGGCACACACGTAGTTAGAAAGGAAATCCCCTGTATAAACCATACAGTAGATGTCAAGAAATTAAGCTATGTGTAATAATGTGGAGGGAGTATATATTATTACACTATATTATTTTTTGTAACTTATATTCTACAAATATTGATCTTTAACGTATCAGTGTTTTACCACTGCTTGCCACACTCAGAGATGTACCTGTATATGCAAAAAAAAAGGAACCATGAATTTGTTTCCCTCTGCTGCACAAATATGCACTAATTTATGTTTCTGTACTGTCCATCATCCATTCTTGTTATCAAGTCATCAATGTGGCAAAGTTAAAATGTGTTTGCATAGTTTTTCATGGTACTGCATAGAGCGTCATTCATTCACCACTGCTCAACACATTATAGCAAAGCAACAAGCTGGTGCAGAAGCAATAATATCTTCCTTCAGTACTTTTCAAAATCTATAATAACCATCATTTTCTTTAGCTGACTCCCACACACAAACATTTTCCTTATAAATACACACAAAGCACACAGAATACATCAGCTCAGTGGGTAACTACATGGGCGAGGAGGCCATGATTCATGTTATTAGAGGAAGTGGACCCCTTGAGGATTGAAGCAGTGGAGAGCTGGAGTTTAAAAATGAATATATAGGAACAGACTCATGTATAGAGAGCAATGGATAAAGTACTATTTGGTTTTTCTGTTTTCTCAAAGAAACACAGCTTTTATGAATCCTCTGCAGAGCTTTGAGCTCTGATTTAGATAAACGTTCACTAATAAGCATAATAAAAAATTCAAAAAATAAAATGTATTCAGGAATCATTACCAGCAATGGCATAGTAATATAAAAATAATTATTTTGTTTGATGCTGTATTACTTCAATTCAACTCAGCAATGTTAAATTAATATATTTACAGTAACAGCAAAAAAGCCATGTTTAGCACCAACCATAGATTTAACTGGATATCGGAGTAAATACTTTTTCTTATGCAATATTTGAAAATTGATTATTTAGGTCATGATATTCAGTGGGTTTATTTAATTATTGCAGATCAATATCCTTGGATGAGGCCAGACAGTCTTGATAACTAGGATTCCTTTCATATCATCATAAACAGCGAAGCCTATTTTCCTTGACAACGTTTAAACATCTTTAAACAAAAAAAAGTCTTCATTAAATTAAAAAAATTAGAGGGAAAAAAGTAACTTAGATCACAGAAAACACAACCGTTTTCCTAATCTAGGCTAAAAGCAATGTTGAAAAATCAAACAGCTCAAAACAGTTCAACTTTTAAAGCAATCTTTAAAATAAAACACTCTTCTAACTGACTTTAAAAGTCTCAAAATATTCTTCAAAACGGTCTGCCTAACTTCCTTTAAAATGGTTCTCACTTCTTTATTTTATTCATCAAACTTAAAGCATTTGTATACGTTTGGTTTCAAAATAAGACATTTCGTATCAGTGATAATATACTTTTAACTGTACTGGCCTTTTTTTTCTCAAAAGAGCTAATATATCAAATGTAATCTGAATATTGTAACTGGGGGTAAGTTTGTAAAAGTTTTCAAACTTTTAGCTGCTTTTTTATACAAAACAAATACAAATTTATTTATTTATTGGCATTGTTTTGGAGGCTAAGTGACTGCTTAGGTCTAGAGAACTTCACACCCTTATTGTTTGCAACAGTTGGTTAGTTTTGCTGATGATTACTTAATCAGATACAATGGAAAAAACTATGGGCCTGTTCTATATAAATAATCATAAAAGCAGCATGTTTGGAAAAGGTTCTTTTTCACAGTATTTTTATTTTACTGTCGTTTTTTTAAGCACACCTTCTGGCTCAGTGGAATATGTCAATCTTTGTGGGTTACAAAAGACCTTTAACCTCATTTGTGGACCTTCTAAGAACTAGATAATTCATTGTAATCCTGAAACGATTTAAAAAACTATAACATTGTCAGAGAATTGCTTGATTTTGCTTTATTATGGTACGTTTGTATGTAGTTCTAATAATTAATTTGAACACTCGGTTCATTTCCTTCTTTTCATTCCTAGAATTGTGATTGTATTCAACAAGGCCTGAATACACACAATTACTAAAAGCAAATTAAAATTCATATTAAATGATTTACTCCATTTTTATGCAAGTCATTTTGAATGTTTTTTCAAAATAATATGCTCCTTTAAAAAGCTTCTTAGCATGTGCCAAATGTAGTAATGAGGTTGGTGTCAAAGTTTTTCTTTCTACGTATACAGAAGGTGTCAAAGAGTGAAAAGCAAAAATTGTTTTAAAAGGTTGATGGGATCCTTGAGGTTTGTTCTGTTTAGTCGAAACCAAAAGTTTCAAACAAATAGTAATTTTTAGGATTAGCTTATCATCACATACAATATTGCCATGAGAGAATTCACAGATTAATGGCAAAAATACAAAAATGTTAGACCTCCTTTAATTAACCTTTTTACTCAGTAAGAATTTAAAATCATTAAGGTGATTATTTTAGAGCCCTTTTTACTTTTTTATGTACAACTATAAAAACAAAAAAAAAATGTTAGAACTGTAAATTTACAGTAATTTTTTACCATTTTTTCAAGGCTGCACTTTTAAAAATATGAAATTGTCCAGTGAGCTGTTTCCAAACGAAATTTCTTTTTGCTTTACACTTGTGTAAACAAAATGACAAATAAAATCTGTCTAAAGTCTAAAATGATCAAAACGATCAGTGATGATAGATGCCTTTCTGTGGGGAGTTTGTATACAGAAATATGTTTACTGTTTCCTTGCTTTAAGATAACATTCATTTATATCAGTATTTTAGCTGCAGTCATATGTTGTTTCTATAGAGTCTATAAATATAAAACCCCAACAGTTTATTTCACTGATCTGTCAGTGAAAAAAGCTAATTCTTGTTCCACAGATGGATACAGAAACAGATTTTCTCCACTGAACAAAAGGTATAATAAATTAATATATTTATATTTCATTGCAGCAGAATTGCCTCTTTAAAAGTTCCCCTATTATTTACATTATCATCACTTCCTTTAAGACAACTCCTGCAAAGCCTACTCCTAGGGGTATGGGAGCAATCTTGTATCAAAATTATTTGCATATGTGTGTGGAGAGTTGTGTGTGTATCTCGATTTGTGTGCATGCAGCGGGATTTGAAAATGTTTTCATAAATCTGGAAATGTGTGAGGAGATTTCTGTGTCTACAACAATCTGCAAATGTGTAAAACTACTTGTGTGTGTAATCCGGTTTTTGCATTGTAACATTTGCAAATGTTACATTAGTTGCAAAAGTTAAAAATGTTACATTTGCAGATCTTAGTATCCATTTGTAAATCTAAATACAGAATTGTGGATTTTTTTTTTACACCTTTTGCAAAAATAGCAGAATTTGCAAATAACTTTCCATTTTGGATTGTCTTTATGAGATAATTTTAAATAAAAAGTGTTATGATCAGTTATTCAGTACTTAAGTACTGTATCCTTTCACCTACTAACTTTTATTTACTCTTGCTGGAGTCATTTCTTGCCATGTTTTACTCTAATTTGAGTAAAAATATGATGAAGTACTCTAATTTTATAATGAAATGCAAAGTTTGAAGGTTGTACAGAGTTACAATAAACCATAATTTATTAATAGTCCATTTGTAGTCATATAAATGGGATGGATGAGCAGTGACACCTTTAGCTGAAGATGAGGAAACAAACACCTCCTTCTGCACTGAATCATGCTTAAACATAAACCAAAAACAATATCCTCATAAGATGTGTGAGGTCTAGTGATGGAATGCACTGAAAAGCATTACCTGTGGAATTTTGTATCCTGAATGTGTGTACTGACCGTTTTAGGCTTGAAGGGTGGCTGTATCTCTCTGTTCTCAAGACGATCCCAGTCGATCCGTCTGAAAAAGGCGTGTTCTCTGATGTCCCTCTCTCCTTCAGGGCCGCAGCCCAAGCGCTTAGATGGGTGTTTGGTCATCAGCTGTTAATACCAAAACAATAAACCAAGAACATATTAAATGGATTGGGTCAAAACAATTAAAGCAACAGTGTGTAACCTTCAGCCACTAGGGGCTCTAAACCTGTAATGTCCAAGTGTAGCATCCCTTAAAGCAACTAGAGACACTGAAGTGCAACAAAACGAAACAGCCTCTCTCATTGTTTTTGTTTTTTGCAATCTGACCAACAGTCACACCTCTAGAAAAACAACTTTTAGCTTAGTTAGCTCTGGTGTTTAAAAGCGGCACTCTGGACAACATCAGTCATTCATTGACGACCCTATTAAGTTACAGTTTAGTTTAAAGTTGCCAGTTTTTGAGAAGGACAGCAAGTGCTGTATATTGACCTGAAAAATCATTGAATATATCTCAAATTAAGCTGATTCTTAGGTTGACAATTATGTATTGTTGGTTTAAGCAAAACATCAGCTCAGTGCCGATGCCAACAGTATACAATTGCATCGATCCAAAACAATGGTTAAAAACTATATGTTGTGTACAGATTTTATTTCTTATAAAATGTTATTGATTAAGGTCCGGCATACACTGCATGATACTTTCAGTCATTGTACTCAGCTACAGGTCAAATTGTACGACAAAACCACAGGGTTCATAAGTTCACAGCTCACAACATCTGTTCTTATACTGTATGACCCTCTGATGCAATCTGACAGCTCACACTGTATGACCAAAAACTACAAGTCGGACTCAGCCTAGCAGACAAAAGGCGCTGGTTGAATTCTTTCTAAATCAGAGAAGAAGAAGAATTTATTGTTTTCAGATGTGCAATGAGCAAGGTTGAGGTAAATTTGCTAGTAGCTCTGCTTCAATAGGAAGATACACTCAAGATGACAATCACCTTAAGATGGCCGACTGAATTTCAAACATGTTTGATTTCATCCTACCATACCATCGGAGGTGATCGTGAGAGGCTAATTACTCCTTGTTGCCCTCTTTATACTATGTAACACAGGACGGATGATGAGGCTGAAAGCTCGTCCTCATCTCCGTCCGTCATCTAAAAAAACATGTATACCTACCTTAAGAAAATTACCCTAAATTCCTAGTTCAGGGAACTTCAAATGCAAACAGATTACATTATGTTAACTATAATACTTTTCTATATAATGAAGCCGCAACATATGATAGAAAGCTCAATTAAAACCCCCTAGATAGGGTTAAAGATGTGATATTATGCTTGAAAAATAAATTCAAAACCAACTTTGTCTGAAGCCTAAATGACAGCTTAAAGGCGTTACTATCCAAAATGAGACCTATTAGCTTTGGATCTTTTAAATATATCTAAATGAAAATGGTCATCCCTCTCTTCGTCTGGGTATCCTTTAAAATTAGATGCCACTGCTTTTCTAGGTCAGCAAATGACAGCTAAACAGATGGACCAAAATCTGTGACATAATGTTGTTTCCCTCTGCCTGTTATGCCTTTAGAGGACTGCTGTCTCTTCAGTTCACCATGACAATAACATGACAAGACAATTTGCACCTAGTTAGAAAACCAAAACAAGCTCTGTATTCCAACACTGAAAATAGACACATATAAAAATTTTTTTGGTGTAGATTTACTAAAACAGATTCTAAATTAAGTCCTAAATTTATAAATAGCTTTGAATTTTGTTAAGACTAAATTTTCACGAATTTGAAAGGAAATAGGCTTATGATAGGACATATTTTAAACATCTTGAGTATGCATTATTTTTTGCACTGCAGGATATTGTTCTGACTGAAAGGCAAAATGATGAGAAAGCACGAATAATGATGCAAAGCCAGTTTGTTTTAGGATTAATAAAAGTAAGCTGCCTTTGAACAATTGACCCCTGAGTTGGGCTTACTACTGTATGTGCAAAGTTATTTTTTTAAGGTATATGTAAAAACACTGACAAGTTTTTTTTACATTACTCTGCAAATGTTATTGAATCAAAATGTTTTCAGTTACAATAACTTACCTTGAAATAGACAGAAAGCATGTTATTTAGTGAAGAAATTTACAGTAGAAATGTCTATTGTTTTTTTGCTTTATAGAATTAGAAAGTGTAAGCCAGAACTGAAAACAATCATTAGCTTAAAAGACTGCAGCATATACATCTTCTGATGAAATTAGTATTTTATTATTTTTATTTACGGGCCCTGACTCTTCAAGTGCCCCGAATGGAACCCATGCAAAAATACTAGATCATTTTTAGTGGTGTTTATTAAAAGTTAACCTACAACAACAGGACTTTTGCTAAAACACCTAACTGAAACAAAGACTATAAGGTTATCTCATGCATCAGTTTCAGCTAATAAAAATATATTTAGCCCAAAACTTTAAAATATCTTGGGGAGATTTTCTTAGTACAGTTTAAAATATACTGAGTAAACAGCTCATCAGTTTAACAAACATAAAACACCAACAATTAAAAGCTAAAACATTAAAACACAATCTTAACCAATTGGTCAAAAAAGTCTTTAAAAACGTTATCAAACATTGATGTCTGTATGTTACTGCACAAAGTATTGGTTGGGAAGTATTGGAACAGGTACTTGCTTTCAGGGAAATGTGCTTTTAAAAAGAGTCAATAATATTTCTCCTCTACCTGCATTGCTTAGAGCATTAAGGAAACAAGCAGTCGAAGAGAAAGAGCTCAGTAAAAACGCCAGCAGGGGTGCTATGGATACCTAAGCCACAGGAATCAGGTAAATGTTGAAAGGATCCAGGAGATGGCTATGGGATGCGATGGAAAGGTCTATAACCAGCTGGGGCAGTGGCCAGCAGACCAGCCCATTTAATGCACTGTCTGTGAAGCTGAGTTCAGGAAGGATGTGGCCTTCACATACAGTAGGTGAGCCACGTTAACCAGGGGCAGAGCGTACTCTCTTCTTTCCTCCTTATGATTAGCACTTATAAAAACTGATCGCAAAAGATTTTAAATCTAAACGCTTCTGATGTTGAGACACCAGAAGTGAGAGGACTCCACTGACGAGGATTGTAAGAAAGCTTTAGTTCCATTGTGACAAAAATGGTTTCTGTGCTTCTTGCTGAGGATATTTGACCAAAACACCACCATATTAAATAATTCTGCTTCTTGAAGGATTATTCAAACAATCATTAAATTCAAACCTGTGAACAAAATTGTTGTTTTTCTAGTATTTCTACTTCTTATTTGGCAAAATTTACATCCTGTTTTATATTATACTGTTCTGCATTATAGCATCATATAATATATATTTTTGTTATGCAAATAATTTAGGTGATCAACTTCTGATAAAAAAGTATGAACTTGATTAGGAACATTTCTGTATGAGTTTTTTCTTACTTTTGTCATTTATTAGTATCACGGTGCCCTGAATTCTACTTTATCTGATCTTTAGGAATAAATTTGGCTCACAGACTATTTTGGAAAGCTGTAGACAGGGGCAAAAAATAAAAAGGCTGTAGATTTAGTTCTGCTCACTGCCTGTCATTTGGTGCAAAAAAATCATCCTACTGTCAAACACATCATTAGGATGAAACACCTCAGACTGAAAAATCCTTTAAGCTTGTAAGCCTCACATCAAAGTGTGACATACAGTCATCTCCACAAAACAGAAACATCTAGTGTGGACGTTCTGATGCGATTTCTTTTTTCTGGTGATAACCTAATTTTAACACCTCTACTACATCATGGCCAATCACCTTTATTCACACTCGCTCTAAGGTACAAAAAAAAGCCATCCTGCTGTTCCTGTTTAGAGCTTAAAACACTAGATCAGATGGACAAGAACGATGAGTAAAATAAAGACAATGTATAATAATAATAATAATAATAATAAATGCATGAATTGGAATGATTAAAAACCCAACTAAGCTTTAAAATTAGGTCTCATAGCAGTGAATAAACAACTGTTTTCTCTGAGTTGAGACACTGAGGGCGTGTCTGCTAGGGCAGCTCAAACCACGTTCACATCTAATTCACTGCAACAGTTTAAAAGACAAAAATAAGCAAAATATTATGTTTACATCCTGATTTTTGATTCACAGAGATCACAAGCTTCGCCTGCGTGTGACTTGTTCAATGAGGACAAAGGCTGCGGCTGCTGCGTCTGAGTCCCTGTATTTTAGAGGAGGGAGGGTCTTGCTCAATATTAGCTAGAGACGGTAAACTAAGAGCATTCAATGCAAATTGCCACCAAAATCTCCAACATGACATTGGTAGGTCTTTTGCTGGTCTCTTTTTTTGAAGCAGATGCTGAAGCTGGCAAAAATAAAGGACAGGGTGTTCATTTTTATACTGCTAGATAAGATTTTGTTACAACAAGAATAAGCAGAGTGAATTCCTGCTAAAATAAATATGTGGATATGGGGAAATTAGGGTATTTTGTGGAAAATCAATTACACACCACATCTTTGAAGACCAAGTATACATTGTTATGCTCTTCCTGTTCTGAATAGTGCGCGTATATTGGGACCAAGGGGGTAAAATAGACATTGTTCAGCTACATTAAGTTATGCAACTTAAATAATAGAAAAAAATTATTTTCAGACATTAACTCATCAGGGTATTACATGTTTCCAAGATTCCAGCATCACCTCTCGTCCCTCAAGTCAATTCTCCCAGAGTCTCTCTCTTTTTTGCTCTAATCTTTCTTTATTATAAAGTGTTCTTACATCATGTAAATATCATTTCTTTAGTGAGTGGGGATTCTGATGATAACTGAGTTTTAATTAGGAAAAGTGTAGCAGCCTATCACAGATTAAAACCAGGAACTAAACACATGCAGTCAGGTTTCTGTCAGTGCAGAGTATTTTTAGATTTCACAGAAGCACGAGGCCTGCACCAAAAATGATGTGCTAAATGTTAATTATGACTGACACTAAACCTACTTTTTTTCTTAATAGCCTAGGCAAATAATTTGTACTATTTGATGCTACACATAAAGCAGTATGAGCTCATAAACGGAGTCCTGGAAGTTAAGGACTAAGGCGCACTTCTTGGCATAATACAAAACTAAAGTGGAAAAAGAGGGCAAAATGATTCAGTAAAGAGGAAGGGACAGTAAGACAGAGCACATTATGGTGCAGTTCACCAGCTCTGTACAGCCTAAGGATAGAACAAAACTACAGCCTTTATATCAAATCCTTCTTATATTAAGTTTTCGTAGGTTTTTTGTGCCATTTGAAAATAGTTTGGACTTTGCTGATTCCATTAACAATCCTGTTTGCAGGAGAAAGTAAAAACCAGGGCAGTCAAAACCTGATCCTAGGCTTCTGCTGAAATCAATGTCAACCCATGAGAAACCTGTTGAAAATACTTCCCATCTTTTTCAAACCACTATATTCATTTTTGTCTAAATTTATATCCAGTTATCCTGAGGATCAACATGCAGTAAAATTACCTCCATCTAATCTAAACTCAAGATTGGAGCACTCAAGTAAAAACACTAAATCAATAAATAAACTGTCCAATATTTTAACCTCTGTAAATTTAAACTGTTAGTTTTATGCTATTTGATAAAGATATAGATTTTATATTTTTAAACTTATCACAGAGTAGGATTACTTAAAGAAAACCAAGTCAATAATAATAAAAACACAACATTAAACTACTCTTCAGAAATATCAATTAACTTCAGTGTCAAAAGTCAAAATATAAAAACATACGCACTTTTAGTAGTCCTGTGGATAAAATATAATGTTTAACTGTACATGCATTAAAAACTACATTTCGGCTAAGATAGGGATTCAATCAACAGTTTTGTTTGGGCCTTGTTCCTCGTATTATGTTGCTGCAAAGCTCTAACTTTGTAACTTTTATTCATAACTGTTAAACTTTTATTCTCACAGATGAAACATCTGATATTACATGTATGAATAAATTGACAAGGAGCATAGATAAATCTTAAACTTTTCAGCATTTATTAATTTACATTTACAGATTAAGACATAAATTGTCAGTTAACCCACCCCATATCTGTGCTTTAATAATCAATGTGCTTAAATAGCAACTAAACCCCTAATCTATACTTTTTTAAAGATAAACTGCGTAAAAATGGGTGCTAAGTTTGACATTTTCCTGTTAACTTGTTTAATTCAGCAACATCTGGCCTTAATGCACTAAGAGGATCCCTTTACGCCTCTGGAATTTCTATCCCAACAGACAATCACAAGAAACTCCATGACAATCCACTACTTAAATTCTCAAAACATGTATGGAGAGAATTGCATAAATGGTGTGGAATGTCACATTTGAGACAGTTATATGCACCTTTATGGCATAACTCGGTGGTATGGAATGGGAAAAGAGCACTTTATTATAAGGTGTAGATTGAGAAAGGAATACACATAATTGGTGACCTCCATAAAGATGAGGTGCTTATTTCTTTTGAGGACAGGATACTAAAATATAGATTTGAAAAAATGGGTAACTTTTGGAGGCACTTGCAATTGAGGAACTGCATTACCAATGGCAATTTTAGTGTTTTTTTTCAAAGCAAAAAAACTTTTCCTATTACTGTTTTAATATTTACATGAGAAATAGGAAATAAACCATCTTTAATTTTTAAGAGAACAGTTTGTTCTCTGCTCACCCCTTTGCAGATGGACACAGCTTCTTTTGACATGGACTTTGGGTAAGAAGCATTGTGCTCCATAATGGACTGGAACAACTCATCTTCATCCTCACCATCAAACGGAGGCTGTGGGTGGAAAGACACAATGTTCAGGATGCTAAAGTTACACAATGAATAAATACTGATTTTTTGCTTCAAGGTCTTATAACACAATGGCTCACACAATACCACTGCACATCAGCAAGGTTTAATCATTTTCATACAGGTGAAGAGAGAATCAAAAATATTACATTTTTTCACTGGACGGAATAAAAACAAGCCAGAAACATTGTGAAAATGACTCAGGAGATCATGTTTCAGAGGAAGACCTTCTAAGGTCAGTGGAGTGGATGACCCAGCTTTTCCTTTCCCTGCTTCGTCGTTATCATCAGTTACCATAATATGGGTGTTTTGACAGTCCATAAAATGAATTATTCGTCATTTCCACACCAGTGGACTCTTATCGACCAGAGGTAGCCTGTCTGCATGAAAATATATATATCTTCCTAGTTTTTCTTTCATAAAATCAGTCAAAAAAATTTTCAGCGATACTAAAACAAAATTATGATTTTTCCCTTTTAAATGGTGACTGTTGGTTTTAGAACAGCCTGTACTGTCACCTGGATTTAAAATTGATGATATGTGGAAATTTGCATCTTGTGCAGAGTGAGTATAAATAGGTCACAACATTTATTATGCTTGTTCTGATTTAGGTCAGCGCTGTGTATGATTTATAACAACAGGCTAAAGACACAGTGACAAATTCATGTGTAAACATTGAACACCAAACAAATCAGTTTTTTTCAGTTCAAATCTAATCTAATATATACTGTAAAGAGAGAAATTTGAACATTAAAGCAATTGAAATCCAGATATGCTCTTTGTGATGTTGTGGGTTATTGCTACAAGGATTTGCAGAAGTATCCACATGGGGATGGTGGGATAGGGGAAAGATTATTGCTTTGACTTGTTGCAAGTCTCTGAACACAGAGAAAAAGTCTCTAGAAAGGTTAAAAAAGTTAAAATTAGCAAAAAATAGCTTTAAAAAAAAGCAAAAAAGTTACTAAGTTAGCTGCAGTGATTCCAGAACTTTAAACATTATACTTGCATATAAAAATCAGTATATATTTCCTTATACTCTGCAGTAATTTGATACTCTGCGTTGGTGAACAAATACAATTTTGAAAAAAAAAAAATTAATTAAAACTTTGTGGAAAACAAAAATGGAAAAACATATTTAAAACAGTTTAGAAGTGTTTTTACTGCAAAAAGATAAGGATGGCAGCTGTTCAATGCAGTACCAAATAATTCAGCATTACTCAAATGCATCAGAAGCGATTAACTCTTGGAGGCACTTCTACTAGAAATGCTTAGAGTGGGTCTATCTGAATAAGGCTGTAGCATAAACAGTTTTAACAGAAGGGAACATGTTTGTTTATCAGTGTAAAGCACTCACCTGTCCTGCCAGCATTTCATAAAGTAGAACTCCATACGCCCACCAGTCCACAGACCGTCCATATGGCTGATAAGCAATGATCTGAGGAGGAGGGAAGAAAAATATACAAATATTAGCTTAGAATAACACAAAGCAACACATTCTTTTTCTTCGTGATGGAGAATGTGAATGTGGGAAAAGGTTTCTATAAGGGGGACAATATCCGGAAAAAAAGATTGACAATCCAAACATTTATTGGTTGCAGGAATTAGAACAAATATACCATTTACAACTTTGATAAAAGAAAATTTAACAGTGTTCTGATTCAGAAGGAAAGACACTTTAGATCTGCAACTATTACAAATTTTGCATTAATATATTATTTAGATGAAACATTATTTAAACCAGCCACTCCATATCTGTTAGGTCTACCTGGAAGAACAATGCAGGACCAAAAAGAGCCTTATATAAAAGAGCAGGAAACTCATATTCTCTTCTGAACAAAAGCATTTGCCTTTCTAAGCAGTAGAAGCAGTAGCACATTTCTAATGAACATTTGCAATGAAGCCAATACTTATGCTTTCAGCCAATTAACATATTTTTGCATGCACATGTCATTTCAGTTAGGTAGTATTGAAGTGATAAAGTAAAAAAAAATTCCAATAGAGACCAAATGCTAAATGCTATAAAACCATGCATACGTTATAACATAATTTTAGAAGATGTAAAATAAGAAAACAAAAACATCTTCTTTACAGTATTTCCCTAGTGTTACGGTGAAATGCCTTTCAAACTGTATGGCAGCTTACAGTATGGAATGTTATTCAATAAGATGCCAGCGATATCCAGCAGGAATTGGGACCATTCATTCTGAAACAACTAATGTTGTTGAATCAAGGTAAAAAGGTGACCTCACACACATCTCGCATGTTTCTATGGGATTTTATTTGAGGTTATGGACTTTGTTGTGCTTAAGCTTCTTAAAAGATGGCATGTGTGCTCAGTCATTGTCCATTTAAAAGAGCCATTTGTTCCCTAAAATTAACCTCTTTGTAAAATTCTTTAGATGCAGCTTCAGTGTATTTCTCCATTCCCTTCTTTCTTCCTGATGCCAATTATTTTGTGAAGCATACTATTCCTTATTGTAGCAAAAACATTAAAATACAGCATAAAAATGTCAATTCTTTTGTGATCAGACCATAAGACACATCATCAGGAATCAGGTTGGAATGTCCTTAAGTGGGATTTGTCTTTAATTCCTGTTTTAAGATTTTTTTGGAGAGCCTTCTTCCTTTCTTTCTACGAAACGTGCTAAACTGTGGAAAATTAGACCAGCCTGGAGATCTATGGAGATCCACAAGTTGTCTAGACATTAAAGATGAATAATCCCTCAATACCCTACTCTTACATGACAATTACAGCATTTATCTATATTTGTAATACAATTTACAACTCCAATCCTAACAAGTTGTGACCCCATTTATCAGAAACGACTAAACAAAACTGCAGCCAAGAGACTCATGTACTGTAACTTTAGCAGAGTTATAGAGATCCACAACTCAGATGAGTGAGTTGGTGACACAGCAAATATTGGTCATTGATTTTAGAAATCTAGCCCCCATTTGTTTCAGGAATATACCTCTGCAAATTCTCAGTCATCTGAGTCATGGCAACTATAAACTATCAATCTGTATTTGGAGGGCGGATGTTTTTAAGCAGGCCCATCATGCAGTCCGGTTATCTTTATTTTAAGCTAATTTCAGGATTAAACTTTTTACTGTAATAAAGCCAAAAAAAGGTCCGATCTTCAGTATATCGAATGTCAATGTAAAAGAGATAGTCAACATGCAGAGCAGATAACACTAAAAAGCTTTTCTCATCAAAATTCAAAAAGCTCTGTGCTAGAGAACCAGTACGGAAATACAGGGAAATGCAAAAAAAGAAAAAAAAAAACTGCTAAACATTATAAATGTATTGAGCCTTGGCCATCGTTTAGGACAAAACCACTAAACACACTGTGGAATCGTTCAGATTATGGCATATGCATATTAAAAGAGGCCCAGTCAAAGACCAAACCTAAGTCCAATTATCCGTGAAAAGACTCTACTTACACCCTACATTTAATCTGACAGAGCTTCAGGCAAAGAAGAACTGGTCAAAGTTGTAGTATGACGATAAACATACGTAGCTGGTATGCAAAAATCATAAATGACTTCTTGTTGTAACCCCGACAAAATGTAATTCTTCAAACTATTAGCTTGGGCAGATTAATAAAAATGTTATGTATAAGAGAATTATCCTGCCATAATGCAAGAGCACATAATTTCAATTTGAGAAAAGAATTTCATCTTCTTGCACTCAAAACTTACAATGCTCACACTCAAAACATGCGCTCTCTCTCTCAAATATTTTCTCTTCTCTCTCAAATCTTTGTTTCTTCTCTCAGATTTAATGCTTCTTGCACAGATATTTTCTCCTCTCGCTTGCCTCCTTCTCTTCGCGCACAAACTGCGCTCTGCTCGGGTCTCAGTTACGCTCGCAAAGCCGTAGGCTCTGCTTGCAGATTTTTTTTGCTCTCTCTCAGATTGGATCGGACCGTCGCCTAGCAACCTTTCCAGCCAATGGAACGACAGCCTCAGAAAGGGTGCGCTTTCTTAACTCTACTGAGTGTGCCTGTGATAAACCTTACCGACAATAAAATGGATTTTTAATTTAAAAGCTATCCATTTTCAGACGTGACGTGATGTGAACAGAAAACTCACGCCTCAGAGTTACTCGTCAGAAAAAGAAAAAAAAAGTTTGCTAGTCAGGGCAGATGCTAATTCTGCTGGAGGCTGAAATTAAGTGACTTTTCATTGGGAATTCTTGAATCGCCCTTTATTATTTCCTTTTTTTATTTTCCTGATTGTTGTTGTTTTTCAGCTTCTTATTTTAATAGCCTTTAAATTAAAGAGCCATTTTATTGTCGGTAAGGTTTATCACAGGCACACTCAGTAGTGTTAAGCAAGCGCACCCTTTCTGAGGCTGTCGTTCCATTGGCTGGAAAGGTTGCTAGGCGACGGTCCGATCCAATCTGAGAGAGAACAAAAAATATCTGCAAGCAGAGCCTACGGGCTTGCGAGCGTAACTGAGACTCGAGCAGAGCGCGGTTTGTGCGCGAAGAGAAGGAGGCAAGCGAGAGGAGAAAATATCTGTGCAAGAAGCATTAAATCTGAGAGAAGAAACAAAGATTTGAGAGAGAAGAGAAAATATTTGAGAGAGAGCGCATGTTTTGAGTGTGAGCATTATAAGTTTTGAGTGCAAGAAGATGAAATTCTTTTCTCAAATTGAAATTATGTGCTCTTGCATTATGGCAGGATAATTCTCCCATAGTTATGCTAAAAAAATGTATTCTTAAAAGTAAAGCATGTTAAAACTATGTTTAAGCCTTTCTCCATATTATAATTATGCACTGCTTTGTGTAGGCCTAATGCATAAATGGCCCACAAAATAGTGTAAAGTCAACAGGTAATAGTACCCTTGCAAGGCACAATAAAAATATAGGATGTCGCGTCAGAAACACACAAAAGCTCATTGCATTGTTCTGACCCAGAAAGAAAACATCCCCAGGTGTGTTATATCAGAAGTGCCATGCATCTCTTTAGGCCCTCCTCTGAATTAGGACTGATGACCTTTGCTACACACAAATTACTCATGAGTAACTCCCACAGCTATTAAAACAATGAACCATTTATCCACATTGGGCTGCAGAGAAAAAGAAAAAAAATGCACACAATGTATACATGTGTAATAAAACACATGGATAGAAAGAAGCAGGTCTACTCTGTGTAACAACCTCCACCTGACTGCTGCCTTTACCACAGGGAAAAAACAACATGTACACAAACACATGTGGACCCACATTATGGTCCTAATTCTCTCTTGAGGGCTGATGAGAGACAGATAAGCATGCAGTATATCCACCTGCTCAGGGAGGGCATATTTACATAACTCTGCATCTGCATATAATAATATACATGTTAGAAGGGATTTATTTGTTTTTTCTACTGCAAGTCAAGCATTGGGCACATCGAAGCGTGGTCAAATACATCCAAAGCAGCAGATGTTGAGCTTGAAAAATCAGTCAGTCAGAGAAGCTGATCCAGAAGCTGACTTGTAAACTATCACTGCATCTTTTCTCCTTGCACATTTATTCTGTTACAAACTGTTTAACTTCTTTTTAAAATGTTTTCTTCTAAAGGACTTTTATTGTACTTATATAAACATCCTCTTCCAAAGCCTTCATCATTAACACCAGTGAGTATATTTCCTGGTATTAGTAGAACTTAGTAAAAAAACAATTATATTTGATTTTTTTCTTTACAGTTACAACAAACCTTTATCCTATTTTTAAAGCAACACAAAGTATTTCGTTATTTCAAAGGGGGAAATTTAGGATTAGGGTTAGCTTGGCTTCCAAAAATAAAAATACTAGGAGTACTAGTTTAATCCCCCTTGGAAAAAAAGCTGAGTTGTGAACAAATTGGAGAGGGTTTGTGAATATAATTTCCTACTGCCAGAGTATTTCAGGATGTACAGAGCTAAAGATTTCAATGAACCATTTTAATAGTAGACCAAGAGGCCAGCCGTTCAAAGGCCTATTTTACTGTATGAAACCAAGACAAGGGATTAAATCGGGATTTTACAGATTCTCTGGCCTAATCAAGCCTCCACTCAGTTTCAGTTTTATTCTGTGCAACTAGCCTCCTTCTGAACAGGCTAACAGCCAGGCTTACTGCCTATCGTAATACTTTTAATCAGCTTACATAAAAAAAACACTAATACAGTATATATTTTTATATAGTCATTTACTATATAGTTTTAACATTAATACTGTAGCCTAGAGAGCGTACTATATACTTTATAATTTTTCCATGTGAACATTGTTACTTGTTTTACTGTAAAGGCAGATGTTGTCCTAAGTTTGACAGAAAGGCCTTGCATTGTCAGAGTTGTAGGGAAGCGGCTGTTCCAACCGCTGCATATCCAAATTCTTCCGGGTGGTGCACGACTTTACAAGAGTGAATAAAGTGAATGTGATTGGTCGTTTATCAAGGGGGCGG